CAAAGTGTGTAGCTACAAAACAACAAACAGGTTGATCACACTTCTATTCAAGAATATGCAAGACTCACCATTACTTTATAAGTTGAACTCAATGACGTACAGCAACAGCTTAAAGAACAACAAAATGCTCCTTCTATCTTTACAAGTATGAAAGACTTAAAACATGTACGTTGCAAGGTCGATAACAACCAAACATAGCTTGAGTAGCGAGATCAGATGATATTGCAACATTAAAAAGATATTGAAGCACTCACTTATAAGCATACAACTACAAAAGAAGAAATAAAAGCACACAATAGTATATTACATAAAGTCTTGCTTAAGAATACACAAGGCACTTGGATATAGAAGATAAAATGGAAATTACAACAGTAAAGTCTTAATAACTCTAATAAAATTTTAAATAAAATCCAATTAAAGCTTTACATACATTATTCAAAGATGGAGGGCTTTTTGCTCTTTTTATTTTTTTGATAAAAAGAGATAAAGAGGTAACAATAGATGATGTTAGTGGTCAAAAGTCAGAGATTAAAGGAAGACTCAAGAACCAAGAAAAGGACTAAAGAAGCTAATTTATGACCAATATATATTGATTTTCAAATATATCACTTATATAGAAAATCTTTGTATTAAAGGGGCAAATTTTTATTTTATATATTAAATCTTAGATTGTATAGATAATATTTCAATAGGTGAGTATTATAGATCTAGTGGTTTTGTATATAGAACTATGTTGGATCTAAGTGAACAATTTAGATTTAGCCATAGATCTAATGTTTCAAATGGTGACAACTAAGAAAAGTGTGAAGACCTAAAAAAGTACAAAGAACATTAGTTAATACTTTTTTGAGAGCTTAAAAAACATATGATTATTACTATACTTTGAGAGAGTATAAAACAACACTTTTATAATTGTATAAGCCACTTCAGTAGGAATTAACTTTAGTTGTTGATTCTTAATATTAAAATTTTACTAAATAATCTTCAAGTAGAGGCATATAATTTAATATCAATTTTTTGGCCAAATCCATAAGATTCTACAATAGAAATCTATCTTAATACAAATAAAAGATATATATGTAGAAATTTATGTAAGTTTGATATATTAACACAAATAATTATTTTTTTTCTACTTCTTTTTATAACTTAGATTCTTCTTAGAATATACCTATTTGGAAAAAGATTTTAGTAATATTTTTTAAAATATAAAATAAAATTAGCTTCAAAAATTAATATACCTATTAAATAATAATAAAAATCTACTACTATTTTCATAAACTTACACAATATAAATATTTATTTATAATATACGATGATATTCATCAATAATTGATTATATCATTTAAAATATTGAATTTATTTTCTTTATCAATCATGTTATTAATATTAGATACTTTTAAAATAAATAAAATATATTAAAAATTAAGCTATATTACAAAATATTTATTAATTTTTGCCACAACAACTAAAGATATTTTTACATTTATTAAGAAATATTTTTAAAAATAAATCTTTATTTATATATATATATATATATATATATATATATATATTTACAATCTTATATTTATTGTAGAAAAAATCATCACTTTTTACTATTACCTAAAAATTTAGAATTCATAACAATCAACATTAAAGAAACTATTAATTTCTTTATAAAGTAAATTTAAAAGAAAAGACTTAGAAACATTAAAATTTATAAATTTAATCAAAAAAATTAAAAACTAATAAATAATTAATAAATAATAAATTCAATAGATGAAAAAAATTATTTTTCTAGTTTTGTGCTAAATAGTTTGGTAGTATAAAGGATTTATAATTTGAAATAAATAAAACTTTGTCAAGATGTAGTATTATTTTAGATTGAAAATATAGCTATGTAACACTCAAAATAAATTTAATATTTTAATAGAAATATTATTTTTAAACAATTTAATTATGTGATTAAATTTATTATTCTAATAAAAAATTAAAAGATGTCTAAAAGAAAAAAAAGACAAGGTCAACATTGCATTTTTTATTAAATATTACACTTTTAATGAGGTAAAAATTGATTAATTATAATAATTTGATGTATTCCACCAATCTAAAATATTATTAATTTACCAAAATAATATTACATTTAGTAATGTATAAAACAAAGAAACATTAAAACATATGTTCTAACCATAAAATTTTAGAAAAACATTTATATCATCTTAAAAATATTTGTTTATTATTATTAGAATAAAATAAAAATCTAAATATCTATTTTAATCTTTATTCAAGCTGTAATATTTTTTATTCAATTTTTTCTTGCATTTGTTGCCATAAAATAATATTCTACGGTTTTAACAAAGATTATTTGAAAATCGAATTCAATTCTATGAAGTAGCTTTTAAGACCTGACAATACAATTAAAATAATTTTAGTAAATAATAGAAGAAAATATTTTGGGCCATCAACAAATACAATACACCATTTTGCTAAGATATAAGTACTATAATTGACTTTATATTATATAATTGGATAGAAATATGTTTAAAATACATTGAATTATTATCTTTTCAAAAAATATATAAGAATATACTTCAAATAATAGGCTAATAAAATTTTTAACTAAAGATCATAAATAATCAAAATTTATATGAGTAGAATAATATATTTTACAAGGATTTTTTTAATTCGTTTTGATAATTCTTGTGTAATTTTTTTTTAAATAAATTTTTATAATACAATTTTAAGTGTAAAAATATTCTCTTCAGTAGACTTCTCTAAATTTTTTTCATCTTAATATTTCTTTGTCGCTCCTAATTTAATAAGATTCAAAAGCTACCAGCCTTAAAAATAATGCTAGCTATTTTCTTATAAGTTCTACAAATTCAATAAATATTCTCAGTAATTTCTTCTACAAAATCTTACTTTAGAATATAAAAAAAAATCAAATCAAATCAAATCAAGTAAGAAACTATTTCAAAATTTTATTTTAAATGTTAAATCAATACTATTAAAACACAATTTGATTCACTTTAATATCAAAATTTTATTTTTTTACACAAGCATTGTAAAAATTAATGTACATTTTGTGTATTAAATTTTTAGTAAAAATATAATAATTCCATAAAAATAATTAAGTTATCAGAAATAAAAAATTAAGAAAAATATTATATTAAAAAAAAATGGAATATTAGACAAGAGTGGAATAAGATTGTTTGGTCTTTCACAAATTTCTGTGTATGTTTGTTCTTAGGATTTGTCTTGTAACAGTACAAAATAAGTCACACTTTTTGCTATCAACTTCAAATTTTTCATATTAATTTGGTCATGACCAATAATTTTTGATGGCCTTACTTTGAAAGAATAGTCAAAAGTCTCAAATTAAAATATTTTAGCAAACATCTTATTTAACCTACCACAAGAATGGAACATGTTAAAGAAGAGTATGTGCCTAACATAACCTATACATAATCAATTTAATGACTTTTTGTATAGTACGCTTTCTATGCATTGTACTCAATCCTTACATTCTTTGTTGATGAACTTCAACAACTTTACTCTTGCATTTAATAAAGTACAAATCAGTTTTTAATCATTATTGTTGAAATATTCAAGGATTGATTTTTTTCCTGTTTATACCGAGGCAATAGTACTGATCATGCTTTTGAGATTATGCTTCAACAATACTAAAGTGATTGAAAAAAACACAACAAAACGAAACAGAAAAATAAAATAAATATACCCACTAAATTATATTTGTTAAGTAATTATATTTTTATAATTCCAAAATTGTATTATATCTTGCCAAGAATATATAATATAATTTTATATGATATACATAATTATAATTATAATATTTAAGTTTATTATTTATATATTATATAATTATATTATAGTTACCAAGAATATAATTATATTATAAATAATTAATATCATAATTTATTATACTATAGAATTATATATAATTATATTATTAACTATGTTTGTAATCATAATATATTATATTGTATTATATTATATCAAATCCCATGACAATATAATTACTAACATATGATTACTAATTTGTTTTTTGTCACGATGTTTCCATATAAAAAAATTCTTTTACAATATTTTCATCGAAAATCATTTGTGAACAAGATTAAATCAACACATCAATATACTACTCCTCAAGAATTTTCCATGCTATACAACAATATCTTCAACTTGCATGCAGGATCCGTTTCACTTTTTTCAGAAAACAGAGTGAACGCCGTTTGGCTTCGTGTTGAACACCATATATATATATATATATACATATAATTTACTTATTCACTGCTACTAATAACAACGATATATATATATATATATATATATTTGTGGTTGTGGAATTCTAGTCGTTATCTACTAGAAGTCCATTAGAATATGAGCAATGAACCCATTCTTCATGAATCCCACATCGGCAGTACTGTGTGCCGTTGGATTGGACGCCAGGGTCAGTCCGATTCCGCTGATCGATACACACCAAATGCCGTGATCGATGAGCTCCGCCATGACTAGAATATTGAATGTCGGACAGAAAGGCAGAAAAAAACAGACAATTTGCTTTACGGATAAGTGCCTGAAGTGAGCCAGGCACTTGGAAGCTCTGCCGCAGCGACGATCGCTTCTGTCGGCCTCAAGTCTCCCTCGTCAATCGCCTCACCGCTGAGAGCTTCAGATCCAGAGGTTGAAATAAGCAGCCGAAGTCATGGCATCAGTGCCCCCGGCAACCACGCAGATGAATCGTTACAGACACCCTGAATCAGGCGGATGTCGACGCATCGGATGGACCGACATTCTCAAATCTGATTGCCCGGCAGACTATATAGAACTGTGGTCAATGGCACTTGACCAGCGGTTGCACTGTAAACCGTTTTAAATACCCCAAAACATGGGACCCATCGTCCAGCTAAAGCCCCCTGACCTATCGCGACACAAGTGTTTTTGCAACTGATAGTGTGTTGGAGACGGTTGTGGAGGTGAGAGAATTGGGGTCGCGCAACGAAGTCGGCGTGAAAGACAACGACTTCAAATTGCCTGCAGGTGCTAATAGCGCATCTTAGAGTTTCAGATGTCAAGGACATGGTCTGAGGTTTAGAGATCGAGGGCGAAGACTCCCGAAAATGGTGGAGTTAGTGTGCGTCAGGCAAGAGTGTTTAGGATGGAGAAGCCGAATAGGTCATTCCTCTCATCGCAAGTTGACCCAAGAGACACGATTCGTAATTTTGAAAGAGTTAGTTAGTTTCCTGTGCAGTTGCTTTTGCCTTTCGGAAACAGACAAGCCGCCCAATATTGTGCACAAGTCTCAATGTGTAAAAAAGCCAGCTGAGTCAATTTCTTGATCATCTGGAATCTTCCCTTTATTCTCAAGACGGGCTCACTGTTCGACGTCAATCCCTACACATAAGTGTGTTCAGCAGTTTCAGAGACAGTTTGCAGAGAAAGTTTGCAGGATTTTAGTCGTTCAGGAAGCTAGACGATAGGCGTTGCCCCGAACCGAAGCTCAACTCCCTAGCCATTGGAGACACCGTTAGTTGCACAATGAAGCCAGCAGATTTTTTTGATCATCGTCAGGTATCTGAATCCAAGCATTGATAGTTGGTGTATTTTTGAGACTCTAGTTCGTGGAATTTCTCTCGTGTTCACTAATTTCCATCGCGAAGCCAATTGCTATGGCGATTTGTTCAGGTATCGACTAATCTTCATCTTGCCTCGCTGCAGATTAATAGGAATACCGGGCAAACTCATGAGAACTCCCCAGAACTTCCTCCCGATAAGGTATGTGGTGTACGTGTCCATCAGCTCACTTATTCTCTGCGAGATTTTGTAATGCATAAAGAAAGAAAAACCAGACATAGGTTGGACTCAAGTAAGTGTTTGTTGTTTATCTATTTCGCTTTGGACACAGATCTCTGCAACGATTAATCTCAGGGAGAGTCAAGTTCGGAATCACCAGGAAATGTTAAATGAGCTGCAGAACAACAACATGAGTAAGTTGAACCTTGAAGTGATATTTTTGGGATCATGAGACTATGTGTTCTGAATGGTCAGAATCATCTTGCAGTGGCTAGACTTTGAAATATAAGATTTTACCAAGTCCAGCTGCGCCACTGTTTTTGAACTCCGTAGATGTGCTTGACACAGCAGACATAGATCATACCGGGTCTAGTCGAGGGCAACGGTACACCCATATCATAACCATTAGTGGCTACCCTACTTCTGATGGATTCAATCAGCACAGTATTCTGGCGATTGTCCGGCGATACTACAGTGAAGCAAGTTTGGTGACCGAGTGACAAGTTTATCCCAGCGATTCATCTACAAATAATCTCGACAGTCGACACTCCCTGAGGCTGGAAATTCGCCTTCTTAATGGCTATCCTTTGTCTGTGCTTCTTAATATTACGTACGTATATTTATTTATTTCTTTCATTTTTGGAACTAAATGAGCTGAGCTTGTCATTAGCCCAAAACTTAATCTAAGGTTTGCTTAGCGTTGATGGATGGTGTATGTTTCACACTTAAATCTAGTAGCAGTCTGTGCCTGCAACATGACTAGTTGTCAATTTATATCATAAATTTTTATATTTATTTATATTTATTTATATATTTATTTATATACATCTGCACTTATTTGAGATTTGCACATTATTTTATAGTTGTTTCTAATTGTTTTTAAAATAAATCAAATTACTATTGGGAGTAGTTAGGTCATCTTCTAGCCTTTTACTAGGTATTTTAATTACTCCAGCTCTTCTTTCATTTCTACGTTAATATAAGAATTGTAGAATCGATGCTATGATTTTTAAAATAGCATCAGAAGTGATGCGAAGAATCAGCAATTCAAAAGATGTATCAAGTTTGGACCTGTTGTTACAATGTGTTTCAATAAACAGCACAAGATTTATTAAAATCATTTTTTTTACAGACCAAAATTTAAATGTGGTTTTTTGAATAAAAATATAAATTAAAATCAAAATACTTTATTTTAGAAGTAATACTAAAAAACATGAAATCTATTTGTTTAATTGATTGATTAAAAAAATTAAAATCAAAACCATATACCAATCAAATTTCTTCAGTTGTAGTTTATCAAAACACATTGTAGACAATAAATTAATTAGGAATACATTTATTATTAAAAAAATTTATAAAAATTATTTAAATTAAAAAATTTATTCAAATTAAATATTCTTAATTTTTAATATCTTAAATAATTCTTAATAAAGAATATTTTTTAATTTTTTAAGATATATTTTATATATATTATGAAAAATTAATATAATTAATAAAATATTAAAATATATTATAATATATACATTAAAATAAAAATAAAAAATAATATAAATTTTAAAAGCATATAAAAAATTGTAATCAAAAGCATATTTTATAAGTTTTAAAAATATATATATATATTAGTTTTAAATATATAAGATCTTTTCTAATCTTTTAGAATCTTTCATGAGATTTTAGAACCTTCTATAGTGCTCTATAGATTTTTGTAATAAATTCTTGAAACTTCAAAGATATTCCATAATTTTTAGAACTTCTATTAGAAATTTCCATTATACAATTAAGTCTATCATTCTACAAGAATATACACCATACAAAATGTTAGCAGCTCAACTAGTGGATATCTACCACATTAATGAATTAAAAAATATGGCGCAACAAAATATCATTGATAGCCAAATAAAATGATTGAATATTATTAGTCTAACAAATCACAATACAAATTTAAAACAGAAAATTTAATTTTATGGATATCTGTGATCATAATTAAAAGCTCTAATGATTAGTTACAATTCTTTTTGTAATTTTTAACATGTTTTTATTAATTTTAATGCTAATATAACTAATTAATAGATCCAAATTAATTTTTTAGTTAATTATGACTTTGATCATATCTTTAGGTTGTTAATTAGATGGATAATTTTAATTAGTAGATTGATTGACTATTTTAAAATTCAAAAAAAAAAAGTAAATTTAGAAGATCTATGATTTCTTCTTCTTAAATTATTTTAAAACTTTTTTTTAGTGATAAAACTATAATTTTAGCAGAATTTTTCTTCTAATTCTTAGGAATTATATCTTAAATTAATCCACAATCTTAATTTTCAATCCAAAAGCTAATTTCTAATTTGACTATTGTTAGAAAGTCCCTTAAAACTAATTGCTCTACCTTCTTAATTAATTTTGAGATTTTTAAGCTTAAATTTTATTTTACAATTTAATTGGATTAAAAATATAAAGTCTAATTGTTAAATTAATGATGATCTTAAAAGGATGGAGACAAGCTAAATTTTTGGTAGAGTTTCCTCTCATAGTGATTTTAATCACTACTTGAAGTTGAAAAAAGGAAAAATTGGAAAAAAATCACAAGCATATTAATTCAAGGCCAATTTGCAATTAGATTTTGGATTTGCCAAGAGTTCATACTTAAGGGAGTTTAAATTGAAGAATGGTAATTATGAAGGCTTTGATGGCAAGAACCCTTGCTAATTTCTAAGTAGGATAATTAGAATTAAAATTATAGTTGAAATTTATAACTAAATTAGCAAATTAATTGGTTCTTATGATTTAGAACTCAGATTTGGACTTGTAAATAGTTGATCCTAGGATAAAAATATGTTTTAGAGACATTGATAGTGTTAGTTTCACCAAAAAGTCGCTACTTTTTGAGTTCTAGGCATTTCTAGCCTTGAAATTGGGGTTAGGCTGAGAGTTATTGAAGACCCTTGATCTTGATCAAGGATTTTCCGAATTTGATGGTGGAGATGTGTCTGTCACTTTTGAGCCTCCTCCCACCTAGTTAAGAGGGCTTGGGTGGCCGAGCTCCCTCTCTCTCTGCATCTTCTTGTGGCAAAGCCATGGCAAAATGTCCCCCCATCTTGTGAATGCAAATCTTCTTCTTTAAACTTATATGGCCTTGGTTTTAACTAACTCAGTCTATCTCTTTTTATTTTCATTTTGTGAAATTTTGTAAGCAAATTCTACTCACTCTTAGCTTTGTAACGGCATAAGGCACACTTGATTTGAAGTTGTAACGAATTTTTGGCGAGTTTTCAAGGTGGCAAGGATCTACTGCCTTGGCAGAGTAGGAGCATCGGTTTAAAAAATCTATAACTTGGTGACCTTTGACTCAACTTTGATGTCGATTGTTGAAATGAATGCACTCTAAAGTTTAGTTTACTAAAAAATTTAAATCACTAATTTTCAAGCTTTCTCAAAAGTTTTAATGAATTTTTAAATGTGAAGGGATTTGCTACCTTGGCAGTTTTGAACAACTAGAATTGAAAAAAATTATCTTAGTACTTACCTAAATTTTTGTACTTAAATTTGTTAGAAAAAGAACTATACTAATTTTGGTTTTAGGAAAAATTATATTTGCCAATTTTAAACTATTAACCGATTTTTAGTGAATTTTTAAGTGAAAGAGGGTCTGCTACCTAGGTAGCTCAAGTCACCTTGCTTTGAAAACACATATCTTCGACGTCAAACCTTGGATCACCATGATATTTGATAGATAGAAGCAACTCTAAGTCAACCTCAACCACAAAAAATTTCAAGTACATAGGAGCTATAGTGAAATGTTGGCGAATTTCCGAATGACAAGGGATCTGCTGCCATCAACTTGACATACTCTAAATAAGTTTTCCTTCCCTAATCACCCTCTAACCACATCCTTTAGCACCTAAATTGATATATTATCACTCATTTTTCTTATTATCATTAATTAATATTATTTAATAATTTCAAAGAACTTTTTACCTCACTCTCAAAATGAATCTTAAATTCTTATCTTCCATCTATTTTTATCCTTTAAGGATAAAATAAAATAAAAAATAAAAATTAATTTGATCTTTTAATTTTTTCTTGTTTCTTTTAACCTTAATATTTAAAATTTTAACCTTTAACCTTTAACTTTTACTTCTATTACTTTTAAACTTTCACTTAATTTTTAATTATTAATTCTTATTTTACTTTTAATTTTATTTTTTACTTTTGATTTTTAATTTTTTAATCTTTCAACTTTCATCTTTTATCTTAAAAATCTTAATGTCATTTTAGTGTTGAATTTAAATATTCAAGGCTATTTATTACTGAATTTCTAATTCTAGATGAAGTTTTGTCATCAAAACTTCATCCATAGATAACTTCCTATATAGAACTCTGATTTACATGGTTAATACCATCTTAATAAGTCTTAGACTAGCACTCTAGCATGATATTCATTTTTATTTTATATTATTTTAATTTTAAATTTTTAGAGTTTAAGTTTGATGGGATAAGTCTTGGAAGGTACTTAATTGAATGAATTACAAATGCTAAAAATTAAACCATAAAAATATGTAACTAAGTTTTTGTGTTGTTAGATTAATCTTGACCATTATATTATTTTATTTTTTCTATCTTATATATGATTTGCATCTCCACATCAATTAATATTGGACTCTAATCTAAGTTATAATCTAATTAAATCAAATTTAAGTGAGGAGAAAAAAATCCACTTACAATATCCTTGAGATTCCAAAATTTGTACAAAAAAATTTAATTTTATATTAAATAGCTCTAATTATATTCAATTAGTGCTACTTAACTATATAATTCTCTTCATCAACCAAGATCATTACAATTTATATACAACCATTGTCAATACAACAAAATTAAAACACTATTATTCAAAAGAATCAATACTATTGCTGTGTAAATATTCTTGCAACAAGTATTTGAACACAAGGATGATTTATGAGGTTTAGAAGATAAAGACCCTAATTTCAAATTAAAAGATGTCACCAATATTTGGTCCAATTTGCTACCATCTATCACTTTTCACTCAATTCAAATCAATATTATTATGTCAACACATCCAAAAGTCATATCTATATAATTGGTAGCATCTTTATCTATAATTAAATTTAGGCATGTTATCATGTTATAACAAGATTATGTGGTGAAAATATAATCAAAATTGAATTTTTAGTTAATATTTAATCATCTTGATTTAATAGTAATTTAAAAAATTTAAACATTACCTTTATAAAAGCCTATTAGTTTATTCTCTTGTCTTAATAGGAAGTAGATTAAAGATTGGTTAATAATTTTATCTTCTACGCTATAAAAAATCTTTTATTAACTTAGAAAGGGTATAAATTAATAAAAATATAATAGAAGATGTAAATAATTAGTATGATTGATACTAGGATTAAGCTAAGGATAAGGCAAAGCTAAAAAAAATTCTTAGGATAGATTAGATTGATACTTAGGGATTGACCATTTGTAGGATAGGGTTGAAATCAAACTTCTAGCCACTAAAATAGCTACCTAGGATAAAATATGGAGGCATTCAGAAATTAATAATTAAGATTGGAAAGATAGCTTTAAGATTTTTTCAAAAGCATAAGGATTATTTTCATAGAGTTTAGAATGACTTTGCAATTATTGTTCAAAGTTAGGATTTGTATTCGTGACTTTGAATTTATGAAATACAATTAGGATT